TATTCCACTCTGGCTGATTATTTAGGAATTTAGGAGTGATAGGTGCTCAGCACCTCTGAACACCAGGTCACTTAACTAGTTTGCCTAAATACAGATCCAAGTTTCTAACTTTGGGCAACTGAGTTTCCAGGCTTCACAGAACATGTCTTGACTGAAGAGTAGCCTGAGTGATTGGGACCTGGGTGTGAGAAGCCACCTAGGAATGCCCTGAGTCACTGACTCCTCACTGGTGCTGCAATCCTCCCATGTGTTGCGAGGGTTTCTGGGGGCATCTCTCAAGAAGATTCTTAATGCTCCAGTAAACTAAAGCAAAATGCAAGACAATGTAGCACTTTAAAGACTAACAAGATGGTTTATTAGATGATGAGCTTTCATGGGCCAGACTCACTTCCTCAGATCCCTCAGATCTGAGGAAGTGGGTCTGGCCCACGAAAGCTCATCACATCTAATAAACCATCTTGTTAGTCTTTAAAGTGCTACATTGTCCTGCATTTTGCTTCAGCTACCCCAGACTAACACGGCTACATTTCTATCACTATTCTACCAGTAAACTAAGTCACTCTATAATTTTTTTTTCTAGAGTGAATTGTGGGAGAACTCCTCTATGCATCGGGGCACACAGAGAGAACAGTGGGATGGCACTGAAAGATTATTAGAACAGGACCAATTTAGCCTGCATCCTCACTGCCACCGATTGGACAGATTACCAGCCAACTTCTGTGTGTAGCCTCAAATCAAGCGAGCTATCTCCAGCTAAAATCACTGCCACACTCAGGTGAAAGGTTTGCGCGTGGATGGCAGGAGGGTTAGGAACAACCCCCCTAACATCCTCGGCTAAGTTTGCAGTAAAGACATATCAAGAGTTTGGGGATGAAAAGGTGGTAAATAAAGCTGTAATTATGGGAAATCATCTCAATCTCTTATCTCTGTAATACAGACCAAATCTGTGACCAGGAGAGCAGCAGAGAATAGTCCAAAAAGACTTCATTGCTCAAATATTTAATAGAACTATTTGTTAAACAATGGATTGAGTTAATAATTCATTCAGTTTCTAGCAGCACAGTCACCAGAGTAATGATTAAGCCTTCAAATTTTTCCTCGGAGAAGCTGAGCTGCAGGTGAGCTGCAAAGTTATAAAGCCGTGGTCCCCAACACGGTGCCCGCGGGCGCCATGGCGCCCGCAGGGGCATTTCCATGCGCCCGCCAGGTGCTTGGGGCTGGCCTGGCACCGGGCGCATGGCGGGGGGAGCGCCGGCCCCGGGCGCATGGCGGGGGGAACGCCGGCCCCGGGCATGCAGCTATGGGGGGGGGCCACCCCTGGGCATGCGGCTATGGGAGGGGCCGCCCCCGGGGCGCAAGTGTCCCCGCCCCCTGGCGCCCGGTGGGCGAACGGCCATGCCCCCTGGGGCCCGACAACCTTGAAAGGTTGGGGACCACTGTTATAAAGCAATGTCTTAAAGCCCACCTCTGCCATCAGATGCATACTATCAGCTCATACTGAAGTTAAGGACAGCTACATGTCTCTGGACCCATGAGCAGATTTGTCCCCTAATGATTTTATAATACATTTTAGCAAAAGTTTGGGAATTTTAAAATATCCTGCCTATTTCAACCGTCACGAAGTGGGGAATGATTTAAAAAGTGACAGTGGAAATAGCTTTGAAAGGAAAATATGCAAACATTTGTCATCAAAAGATTAATTTGTTTCCAGGATGATGATTAGTTTCTGTTGGTACAGTAGCTGAAGTTAAAAATAGGCTAGGGGAAACAAAAGTCTGTGCTAAACCACTATTTGCTACTCTATTTTTTTGGTCTGATGAGGCAGACATCGCTAGACAAAAATAAGTATGCCTAATTTATGCAGTTTCCAATTCCTTTCTCTTTTTATTCATGTTTAAATGGAACTTACCTAGACATTTTAATTTTCATGTGCATTTATTAAGAACAAGTTATTTTTCAACTTTGTAATTCTTACCTCTTATTTAATCTAAGTTTCTTTGATGTTTTAGTATTTAATAAAACAAATACGTTACGTTCAAGCATTTAGATACCAATCAAGTTTAAAATTTGCAGTTATATTATGTTCTATATCCTGAGTCATGGAATTTGCTGCCAAACTGACCCCGTGATATAGAGCTATGCTCCAGAATGCAAATATTCCTCCCTGTTACTATTCTGTTTCTGGCACTTTCAGTTGTGCAGAAAATCTTCTATATCACAAAATAAATATGAAACAATACACATTGTCTTCCAGGCTAAAATATTAGCTCTGAGAAAGATAAGCTATCCACATACATATAAATGAATAATCAACTTTGAACCCTAATGGCAAAGTTACCTTTTTTAAAAACTCTCATAGATCATCATTTTAGCACAAACATATAGCTAAATCAATAGCTAACCTATCATTGTTAGGTGCAGGAGCAAGAGGGCATCTGATTGCTAACAAGCATTGCAGGAATAGAAAAAAATAGGAGTTCAAAGTCTACCAGTATTTCACAAGCTTCAGATCAACTCTGCCACTTCACAAATGGGAGGCAAAAGGGATTTTTGTGCCAAAATCTCAACTACCAACTTGATTCCCAACATCCAAACTAGCACTCTGCCTTCAAAGGAACCAAAAGCCCCAGATTTCTCCTCCACCAAAACTTTGAGCTCCTTTCTCTTTGCCTTTTCTGTAAAACTTCTACAAGCAGTTTAAATTTTAAATACAAAATTCTGGAGCACCCTGGAGTTCTGAGATAGGGAAAGGAACAAAATCAATTTACTATGTTATTTTAAAATTTTAAAAGCTGACTAGTCATTCATGTTCATATTTAATATAGATAAACTTTTTAATTTATTGAAATCTGCAGCAGAATCGCAAAGCTGCTGCAAGGAGTGATGTGTCTACCAGCGGACCCTTTGCAAAATTTCAGCACAGAAGAAAAAGATTCCCCACTCTGCTGGGGAAAAAAAGTTTGCTCAACTGGTTGAAACTCAAACAAACAGAGTGTCAAATGTGCCTAGTGAAATATTTTTCCAAATATTTTTTTGTTATTCTGATTCTCTTAAAAACAAAAGAAAAAAGAGAATCAAGGAAATTAAATGCAAAATCCTATGTTAACACAACATGAAGGTGAAGAATTATGTTAAATCAGTCCAACATAATGATGTTTAGCATAAAGACTGCCTCTAATCTATGCATCATTACATTAGTACAAGGCCAATAATTTAATTGCAATTGTCTTGATTATATATACTTGGTGCTTTAAAACCACCAATTTCACAAAGCAGAAAATGAGCCAAATCAATTGAGAGAAAATGTAAAAAGAATAATGTGAATAATAATTGGGAACTGTTTAAAAACATTTTATAAGCTGCCTAAAAGGGTGCAATCATGCAACTAAGGGGAAAAAACCTACCTGGCTTTTTAAAAAAAAAAAGTGAAAGCACCTATACTTTAAAAAAAAACACACACACACACACACATAACACCTATGCAGTGTTGTTTGCAAAGGAAACTTACATAACACCTTCAAAAGATGAGCCCAGATCTTGATATGATAACACTACTAGACACTAAAAACCCTGTACTGAAAAAGGGACATTGGTTTCATGCCCATTGCAACAATCTGAAACTCACACTACCTCCGTGGGCTAACTATTAAAGGCCCACTTCAAATTCCTTTTGCATAACAACCTAATCCTTACAGCCCCCCATCTAAACCCCTTCAGTGCATCATTATCAGTCTACAACCAATCCTGGAAAACCATCTCTCACTCTCACAGGCCATGGGAGACAGGCCAGTCCTTGCCTACAGACAGCCCCCAAACATGAAACAAATTATTTCAAGAAACCACGCATCACACCTCAAACATACTCACCCAGGAATCTACCCCTGAAATAAACTCCTTTGCCAACTCTGTCCACGCATCTATACAAGTAACATCATCATAGCACCTAAACACATAAGCCATCACATCAGAGGCTCATACAACTGCACATCCTCTAATGTGATAGATGACATCAAGTGCCAGCAATGCCCCTCTGCCATGTATATTGGCCAAACTGGACAGTCTCTACAACAAAGGATTAATGGACAAAAATCAGATCTTCGAAATGGTGACACACAGACACCTATCGGGGAACACTAACTAAAAATGGCCATTCTCTTAGGCTATGTCTACACAGAAGCATTATTTCAGAATAACTAATGTATTCCAAAAAAACAAAGAGCATGTCTACACTGCAAGCTATTATTTTGAAATAATGTCACGCTGAAGGACTTCTTACTCTGACTCTTGTAAGCTTCATTATATGAGGAGTAAGGGAAGTTGAAGGAAGAGTGACTGTTCTTCCTTTGACTTCCTGTTGCATAGACAGTGCCAAAAGCTGAATTAAGATATTTCCACTTAAGCTATACAATTGACATAGCTCAAATTGCGTAGCTTAATTTGACTTTTGCCCTGTTGTGTAGATTTTCCTTTACAGAATAATTTCAGGAACCAAGTAGCGAGAGAAACTGCAGAACTGGCCTTCATATGAAAATCTGACACATTTAGCCAGGGACTGAACAAAGACATCTCTTGGATGGGCTGTTATATTCGACACCCAAATTACATCAAAAGCTAAGTATCAGACACTTACAGCCCACTCTATTAGCCTCATTGAGCACTGACTATTTAATTCACAGATTTTTTTCTCCTCCCCTCGTCTCTTCTTTTTCTCCTTAATATATGCCCCTATGTGCCTCTTGCTCCATATTTGTCATCTGAAGAAATGGGTGGTGCCCAGGAAAGCTCATGATACTACCTATATTTTGGTTAGTCTCTGAGGTGTTATAGGACCATTCGCTTTGTAAGGGTTGGGGTTTTTTTAAGTTACAGACTAACACGGCTACCCCTCTGAGACAGCCTAACTCTTGGTAATGCCCACTCCAGCTCAAGTGACTTTCTACCCTTTATTCTTAACTATCTGTCCTAACTTGTATTTACCTCACTCTGATTACTTTCCCTAGCTCTAAAGAATTCTTCGACCATCAACAGAAATTCTCAACCAGGGTCACAAGAGGGTCTTCCAGGAATACATGGAATTCATCTGGATCAACGTCTCCCAATATAAGAGGTCATGACCCCAAGGGGGTTTCAGGATGGGCTTGGGAGGGGTCGCAAGTGCAGCACCAGTGTTTGGGAGTGGCAAACAGGACAATCCCTGAGGACCCCAAGAAACTATGCAACATGCTTCAGCTCCAATCTCCAGGCAATAGAGGTTCAGATTTCAGACTCCTAAAAGGGGTACAATAGTTGTGAAAGCTTGAGAACCACTGCATTAGAGAATTTACAGCAACGCAGCTTCACTAATACAGAGCTCTTTCTCCCACAGAGCATGGTCTAATCGAGCACTTAAATCAACGTAAGTTATATTACTTGGGGGTTGGCTTTTCACATCCTTAGGCAACATAATTTATGTTGAATTAATATACTAATAGTATAGTCAGAGCTTGTGAGGTCTGAAAGCTTGTACCTTCCACCAACATAAATTGGTGGAATAAAATCAGGAGAACTTGATAATATAAATCTGTTGCTAGTTTTCTACAGTTGTTAGCTTCTGAAACAAAAGGACAGTTGAAATGTATTGCCAGAATTGTTATACAATAATAAGTTTTCTAAAGTATGTTGGGAACCATAAAACTCCTACAAGTGGTATTGGTGTTACTAGAGGGAAGTGTTAGACGTGTCAACAACGCAGAAAAAGCAGAAGTGTTCAAGAAATATATTTATTGTATATTTGGGGAAAAGTGTCACATCATCATAATGAAACGTTTTCCATTCCAACATTAACTCAGGAAGCTGTTCACAGCAGCTACTAAAGTTTTTAAAAATCATCAGGTCCAGATAACTTGGATCCAAGAGCTAGCTAAGAAGCTCTCTGGGTTGTTGATAAAAACCACAGCACTAAGTTTGAAAGCCCGGGTCAGCTTATTTGGGCTAGGGCTATAGAAACGCAGCAGAGCTATTTGGCGTTTGGCTGAAACCTGGGCTCTGACACCCTCTCCCCCTGTGCAGTCTCACAGCCCAGACTCCAGGCTGGGCCCAAACTTCTATGAAACAATTCTACAAACCACAGCCCATGCTAGGAATAATCAGCTTCTATGATGAGGTAACTGGCTCTGTGGACGTGGGAAAGTCAGTGGATGTTATATACCTTGACTTTAGCAAGGCTTTTGATACAGTCTCCTACAATATTCTTGCCAGCAAGTTAAGGGAATGTGGATTGGATAAATGGATGGTAAGATGGATAGAAAGATGGCTAGAAGGCCAGGCACAGTAGGTAGTGATCAATGGCTCGATGTCAGGATGGCGGTCAGTTTCTAGCGGAGTGCCCCAAGGTTTTGTTCTGGGACCGGTTTTGTTCAATATTTTTATGAATGAGCTGGATAATGGGATGGATTGCACTCTCAGCAAGTTTGCGGATGACACTAAGCTAGGGGGAGAAGTAGATACGCTTGAGGGCAGAGATAGGGTCCAGAGTGACTTAGACAAATTGGAGCATTGGGCCACAAGAAATCTGATGAGGTTCAACAAGGACAAGTGCAGAGTCCTGCACTTGGGACGGAAGAATCCCAAGCATTGTTACAAGCTGGGGACCAACCAGTTAAGTAATAGTTCTGCAGAAAAAGACCTGGGGGTTACAGTGGATGAGAAGCTGGATATGAGTTAACAGTGTGCCCTTGTAGCCAAGAAGCCTAATGGCATATTAGGTTGCATTAAGAGGAGCATTGCCAGCAGATCCAGAGATGTCATTATTCCCCTTTATTCGGCTCTGGTGAGGCCACATCGGGAGTATTGTATCCAGTTCTGGGCCCCCCACTACAAAAAGGATGTGGACACATTGGAGAGGGTCCAGCGGAGGGCAACCAAGATGATTAGGGGGCTGGAGCATATGACTTATGAGGAGAGGCTGAGGGAGTTGGGTCTGTTTAGTCTGCAGAAGCAAAGAGTGGGGCGGGATTTGATAGCAGCCTTCAACTTCCTGAAGGGAGGTTCCAAAGAGGATGGAGAGAAGTTGTTCTCAGTAGTGACAGATGGCAGAACAAGGAGCAATGGTCTCAAGTTGTGGTGGGAGAGGTCCAGGTTGGATATTAGGAAAAACTATTTCACTAGGAGGGTAGTGAAGTACTGGAGTGGGTTACCTAGGGAAGTAGTGGAGTCTCCATCCCTAGGGGTGTTTAAGTCTCGGCTTGACAAAGCCCTGGCCAGGTTGATTTAGTTGGAATTGGTCCTGCCTAGAGCAGGGGGCTGGACTTGATGACCTTCTGAGGTCTCTTCCAGCTCTATGGTTCTATGATTCTATGCCACATGAGCCCGAGTCAGCTGATCCAGGCCAGTCACATCTGAGCCATAGGTCTTCTATTGCAGTGTAATTCTGACTTTCAATCAATTCATGGAAATCTGTAGAAGTTCCAGAAGACAGGAAGAAAGCAGGTCTGGTGCTAATATTTAAAAAGAGATGACACAGGTAATGACAGACCTGTCAGCCTGACATTAATCCCAGGCAAAATAATGGAACAACTAAAATGAGACTTGATTAATAAAGAATTAAAAGAGAGATTGTTAATGCTGGTCAATAGAAAATAGATCCTACAATATATCTTTTTTGAAATTACAAATATGGTTGATAAAAACAATAGTACAGATGTAATATACTTAGATTTCTGGAAGGTATTAGATTTTAAGAAACTAAAATGACACAAAATCGGCATGTACACTGTAAACATACTAAAAACTGGTTGCATGATGGGTCTCAGAACACAACTATAAATCTTGTGGGGTCCTGTAGGGATTGGTTCTTGGCCTTATCACATTCATCTGTGAAAAAGATTGATGATGTTTAGGTTGGGCTTAGCTAACATGCACTGCTCACCCAGCCCAGCCCAATATTTAACAGGTTAACTAAACAAACAGGATTTTACATCCTTACTGTCAACATCTCAATGGCCAGGAGGCACTTCCTGTCTGTAAGCTTTGTTCCCTGCTCCAGTCAAGCTCCCCTCAGCAGAGAGGAGAAGCTGAAGCAGGAAGGGGCAGCAATGGCACTGCTAGCAGTATGCAGTGCGGATCCTCTGCCACCAGGATTCTAGGATATACCAGAGGATTTTCAGGACGTGAATCAAGCTGGGGCCACGTGTACCCACATGGAAAAGCAACTAGGCTTGGACTACCCAGCCCTGCAGGTTCTCAAGATCCTAGGTCTAAGCCCTAGGCTAGCACAATTACTGTGTGGATGCAAGAGAGGTCAGGCTAAAGCCTGGGCTTACAATGCTGTCTGGACAATGCTCATCCCAGGAGGCATACCTAGGAGGTCGACAAATGCCTTTGATGTCGACTGCAGAGCATCCAGACTACCACGCTGAGCTAACAAACAACTGATCAGCTCAGCGTGGCAGCCATTTAAATTTAAATGAAGAGGCGATTATTTAAATCGCCGCTTCATTTTCCTATGCCGGGTAGTTTAATCTACATACCTCTGTCGCCAGAGGCATGTAGTCTAGACGTACCCTCAGTGTGGAACACTGGCCAATGAAGAATGCTACTCACAGTTGTATATTATGTAGGTCAGCTCTACAGTGCAGTGTAAAAAAATAATTAAAAAAAAAAAGACATCTAAAAATTGAAGCCTAATCTGACTAAGGAGCAATGATCCTTCTCCCCATTCCTTCTATGTGCCAACTTTCACAATCTTCCAATCACACTGAAAGAGTCAATGCTGGATTCAACATAATGTTTTAAAACAAACTTACTTGGACTAAAGAAATAATAAAACAGATAGGCTCTGGGCTTACTGGTGAACTTTCATGGTTACATGCAAGTCCCCTCTGCCCCCGTGCTGCTGCTTTTATACTCTGATAGGATATGTCTACACTGCCACCCTACTTCGAACTAGGGTGGCTAATGTAGGCAATCGAAGTTGCAAATGAAGCCCGGGATTTAAATATCCTGGGCTTCATTTGCATCTTGCCGGGTGCCACCATTTTTAAATCCCTGTTAGTGCGGACTCCGTGCCTGCGGCTACACGCGGCACGGAGTAGGTACTTCGAATTAGGCTTTCTAATTCGAACTACCGTTACACCTCGTTCCATGAGGGTGAAGCCCAGGGTATTTAAATCCCGGGCTTCATTTGCAACTTCGATTGCCTACATTAGCCACCCTAGTTCGAAGTAGGGTGGCAGTGTAGACATATCCTATCAGAGTATAAAAGCAGCAGCACGGGGGCAGATGTAAGGAGAGTCAGGTGGGAAGTGGTACACATGGTACACACACACTGGATCTCATGGAGCCGCCTCTACCTTTCCTCCTCCCACATGTAAACACACAAATTTTCAGCGGTTACATGTTCACACACACAAAAAAAAGCATTTTAACATCCCTAATTGAATGCTGCTGATGTTTAAATTAATTGTACTTACTGTAGAACTAACCATGTTAGGGCCCCTAGAGCCTTGGATATACATCTTTTAAAAAACAGCTAAGTCAATAAAATGATGACACCAATCCTTGCAATACTTGGAGCTCTTTGTAAAGACCCACTGGAATCAGGAGATTGCATGAAAATCTCAGCTTCCATTTTTTTAAAAGTTGCCAGCCTTTATTAGATATGGAGAAAAATCTCAAAAATTTGAGGCAAGTGCACTATAAAGGCTCAGAAACCAGAAAGCATATAAGAATTCAACATTTAAAAAACGTCATGGTTTTTAGGGTTCATAATACTTGGAACTGGACCATGAGAAAGGGGTAAGAATATTAAAATCTTGTTTATTTTTCATTGCTTGTGCTAATTTTTCACCTGTAACTCAGATTGGACAGATTTTTACCATCTCTGGTCAATAATAATAATGTCATCTGTTTCTTGTGACTGTCTAGTCCCAGTACCTATACTGTATGGAAATGACGTACTGTGATCACACCCCATGCCCCTAGAAGGTATCTGACTTAAAAACTGTAATCCTCTCCAGTCTGAAAAACCCCTTTAAAAAGGAAAAGTGCCCTAAAAGTGAAGGCACCATCACAGTCAAATGCAGAAATCAGGATTTCCCAACATGCACTCATCTACCTCAAACCATTTTGAGGGCAAAAGAATAATGAACCAACAGAGCTGTAATGTACATTTATATTTTGGATCTAATAGATACACCTGTACCGAGGACACTGATAACTAGTGGAGAAAAACTTGACTGTGATAGCCTCATTTCTGTAAAGAAATTTACACTCCTCTTTATCACAGTTTATCAGTGCAGGCTTGGCCAGCCATCATGATCTAATTAGGGTGCTCTGTAAGTGCATGTTTCTTAAAGCTATTTGCACATATTCATTTTTACAAGATCCCTTTAAAAGGGAGTGGTTTTCCAGAAAGTGGCTATTGCTATCAAAGCATTGTACAGCAAAAGGATAAACTAAGGCACATAGGCCCAGGTCTACAAATTTAGGCTCCACAGGGATCCACACAACTCCTATTGAATGCTGTAGGCAACTACACTCATTTGATGCCTAAGTTCCCTCCGCCTCACCAGGCATCTGGATGCCTCTCTTCTACCTAAGACGAAATGTCTCTGTTGTGTGCAGGGTCCAATCCAATAGGTGTTCTCAGCAGTGGTGTTAGTGCTTGTACCCACCTTATAATGGTCAGTCCCAGTGGTTAGAGCACGTGCCTGGAATGTAGGAGACACTGGTTCAATTGTCCCTTTGCTGCCACAGAGGGAGCAAAGATTGGAACAAGGGTCCCCCAGCTCTCAAGAGAGGCTCTAACCACTGGACTATGAGGTACTCTGATGCGGGCTTGCCTCGGCCTCTCCTGTTGCAGCTGTTCCACTGTGGGTAAATAGCCAAAGAGTGATCCAGCGGGAGCACATCTTGGGTCTCCCACCTCCCATTTGGGTGCCTGAATCACTGGTCTACAAAGTCAATTCCCCTCTCTTTGGGCCACTGACTTTAATTACTTATCCACAGAGAAAGTCACTGAGCCAGAGAATGACTCAGTAGTAGGCACATGACAGAGCCATGTAGTTTAGACATACCCATAATGTACAGTCAGCCTATGGAACTCCTTGCCAAAGGATGTTGTGAAGTTCAAGATAGGGTTCACAAAAAAAAGGGTTCACAAAAAAAAGGGAGAGCTAAATAAAT